ACAGCGCCTTTGATAATGCACCTCAGTCATTTAATTGACGCTTTATAACTTCTTTTATTATTATCATTATTATTATTATTGTTATTATTATTATTGTTATTGTTATTATTATTATTATTATTATTATTATTATTATTGTTATTATTGTTATTGTTATTGTTATTATTATTATTATTATTATTATTATTGTTATTATTATTATTATTATTATTGTTATTGTTATTATTATTATTATTATTGTTATTGTTATTATTATTATTATTATTATTATTATTATTATTATTATTATTATTATAATATCTACTCACTCTTTCAAAGATATGTACAACCTAAAAATCAAAAGCTATATAATAGATTTACTACTGTGCATTTACAGTACGTTATTGTTAATTATGTTACTACAGAATCATATCACACATATATCACACATTGAGACATGCCCTAAACATTCCCACTCACCCACATCTTTTATGCACCCATACACAACCCTACAGTACCTAATTTATAGTGACGTATCCAGGATTTTGAAAATGGTGGTGCTGAATTAGTCCACTGAACTTTATGCAAGGCGCAAACTGTGGACAGAACATATTGATGGCTGTGACTACATAAATTGGTTGTTTTAATTAACTAATGCTGCAATATATTTCCATTAGTTTACTATTTTTTCATGTTTGAACAAAAAGTGGGTGCTGAAGCACTGTGAAACCTCCTTGTTACACCACAGTAATATATATTTCCATTGAGAGATATGCATTTAAAATCATTTAACTCCAAAGCAAATGATAGAAAAAGCCACATTTACCTGGTCTGCTCTTATATAATTACCTCATTGTTATATTGAAAAATCTTATTTATTAAAGATGTATTAATAATATATTAATGATGATATGAATTAATGAGGAGGTTGACAACCTTTGGCAATTCACTTCCCATTAATATCAAGACCACACCTTGTAAATCAAAGCTAGTGATTTAACAGTTTACTAAATCGTCACTGATTAGACACTGGGCTTAAAAAAGCTTAAGAATTTTGTATGAAATTTAATATTATTGATATTTGAAACTTTTGCATTTTTTTTGTAAGATCCATCAAATATTGCAATTCCATTCCCCAAGCCCCGAAAGAGACTTTACACTTCACCATTCCCTTCTGTAATTGGCAGAAAGTGACAGAAATAAATAAAAATATTTTTTCAACCAATTTTCACATTCCCTAAGCTTTTCATTATAATTCATCAGTTACTGTACATGTTACTAGATTGTCAGCATTAATTATGAAGTATTTTTGCCTATTAGCACCACACAGAGACACCTGTACCTGAGTAAATTACTTTATGTGAACTATATCAGCAGAATGCTCATATATTTTCAATCAGTCAATTTTTTTTTCCTGAACTTTAATCATTTTTTAGTAAAAAGACCTATATACTGTAGTTGGCTAATTCAAAATCATCTGTTTTTTTGCCAACTTCAAGAAGATATATAATAAATCATTTTTATGATTTCCAGTGGAAATATAATCTATATTTCATATCCAGTCTAAAGGCTTAGATATTCTTGTTAGTTAAGGTTTTTGCAATTGCTATTCCAGGATCCTTATCCCTATATGTGTTTTTAGTATAAAATATGACCTTGGTATATACCGTCAATGCTCGAATAAGCACCGCTCTCAAATAAGCGCTGCTTTCGAATTAGCGCCGCACCAAATATGATTTTTTTTTTAAGCGCCGCTCTTAAATAAGCGTCTCGGTGCTTAATTGAAAGTATAAATAATATTATCCTGTGTGTAATGAAACAGGTTTTAAAATTCAATGTACAGTGTTAAAATAACACAAAGAAAAACACAAAATAGGTAACATGGAAACGGGCAAGGAAAGCGCCACGTTCATTCAAGCCTTTATGGCAGTTTTCACTTGTTCTGTATCCTTATTATGCTTCAAATTTTTATATTACAAGTTTGATTTTACTTAAAAACTATTTTGTCTGCATGAAGTAGACGTTGATGCAATCTTTGATTCTTTAAACATGCCTGCAGTCGTTCAGCAATAAAACAGCCATATCGCCAACATGTCCTTTTGTTTTTTTGGATTTATCTATTTCCTTAATCCAAATGACAGAAATATCTCTAACCTTCACAACCCGAGTATATGCCAATTAAGGGCTTGAGAGAGGCAATTAGAACCCGACGCAGATCTCTATTCATTAGATTCGGCCTCTGATAGTTTTATGGCCCTGCGTCATTTACGTCGACGGCGACAAAGTGAAAGTTTTCTTTCAAAATCCTAGCAATGAATACAGTGCTAAATGAATATGGAATTGGTCATAAATTTGAATAGTAGCTTTAAATATAGAATTGCCCTTATGTAGTATTAAAGGCAGAAAATGAGATAGCTTCATGTGGAATAAATTCTGCGTACTTATTAAGGTGATTGACCCTAATTTTTGAATTTTTAAACAAAGATTGATTTTCAAGTATTGACCTTAACAGGGAAACTTGTAATTGTGTTATCTTTTTAATGCATGTTAGATCTCATTTTTGTAGGCTAATAATAATATGGAATGTCCATAGAGATGAAGGTGTTTTTCTTTTTCTTATAATAATCACATCATTATTATTATATAATGAACTATCACATACTTGTTATTAGGGGTAACTTTGGCGTAACTGAGAATACTCAGAAGATGAAGATAAGATCAAAAGGCTCATCCATTTTATCATTGGTGGTTGGTGTTTCAGTCTCATTAAAACTCACATTCATGTGTACAATCAAACATTGATTTAGAAGCCACATAATTTTTAGATTCATAGATAAACTTTGATATATTTTCCCATGATTATTGTGACATGAAATAATGCCTAAGCTGGGCCCATGATGGAGGAGGAATAATTATCATGCATTCCTTCTGCTAGTTACAATGTATCTATTAACTAATCATTCTTCATGGTTCCTGATAACTGGACAAATGGCTAACCTTATAAGCCTTTTAGAGCCACCTAATAGAACTTAGAATTAAACCCACTTGATTGGCTATGAGTTATTGTACATTTGTCTTTTGATTGGCAAGGAGTTTAAGTAGTACAGTTGCATACCTATGACCCAGATAGATGTTGTTTCCAAAAAAAAAATTACATATTAGAGGTGAACTTAGCTCAGTGGTTTGCATAACCGTGAGCATCAACATCTCTCAGAGCAAATTCACTGGGAGAAGGCTATACACTATTTTGAGCCTCTTGACCTGTGCCGCCAATTGTAGATCCTGTATTAATTTCATCCATCAATTCTATAGTAACGTGTAATATCTAAGCACTATGAATAATTGAAAGCAATACTTTAGATTAAGTGGAACTAAGCGTACTGTTTAATGCATGATGCCTCTGCACTTCAATTTGAATCTTACAGGCTGTTTGCTGGACAATCATATTTAAAATAAACTAGGACTCCAATTTAGCCGTCATCAGGAAATTCACACCATCGCTTAAGATAACTACACACAATACATATTGTTGGTTACTATACATATCCATATATATTATCTTATTATGTCAAACAATTTATAGTTACGGTACAAAATTCAAATTATGTCAATTTGGTACAAGTGGATTTTGTTATAAGCAGTTGTAAAATGAATACAGTAGTACAGTATAGGTCCATATTGAAAGTTAGTACTCTTTTCTAAGGTTCTTAATCAATCTCTTTTCTACCATAACAATTGTAAGCCATTTTAAAACCCTTGCTGTCCCCGCAAAGTGGCTGTATGTGGTACAAGATATACAGCTGTCATTGCAGCTGAGACAAGATGTCTCAGATTGTAGTTACCAGTGATTTTACTCTATTTGAAGGCTGTTATTTTAATCATATTATTAGTGGTTCTTTTTTTCTATCTGGACATTACAGGGGAGGTGCAAAGTTAAAATTTCTGTGGTAAGGTTAATTATGACCTTAATATTGGTCAGAACTTCTTGGTCATTAGTGAACAATGAGTGATGCAAATTGGGTTCACGATCACAAATAAAAACAAATGGTGATATTACTCAATTTCCAATGAGACAATATTATCATTAAAAATCAATTTTTATTGCTTTTTAGCATTCTAACTAGGAAAATCCTGAAATTAATTACCACAGCCACTTTTATGTATAAATTATATTATGTATCTTGTCTATGTGAATTGGTGAGAAAATACTACATATTTTTTATATATCTAAAGTTAATATAATTATGATATTTAAGCTTTTAAAACTAGTTTATATATTCCATTTTTATTTTTATTAATATCCTTTGGGTAGAATAACAGCCTATGAGTCCTGTGGTAGTATAGATTCATGTCGACGCTGTATCAAATCTCAAACGAGCACCATCTTGATGTACTTTGCGAATTATTTATGACTTTCTAAGACTAGAAACTTATTAAATTGAGGGGAACAAAATACCAATCTCAGAATTGCCTATGTCAAGGTAAACCGGTTCAAGATGCGTTGCTTGTCACAAATAGTACTAACATCACTCATGAACTAAACATATACAATTGGCAGTTTGTTCTCTGCATTGTTCCTTTAAATTAAGTGAACATCAACCTGCTGGAATATCCACTACTTTTTTAAGTATCCTAAGTATTCCATATTGAAAGTAAATAGGTGAATGTGATGGTACATAAATATACATTCTGTTCATTATTTATGTTTTATATGTTTTATATTTATCTGTTAGCTTAAATATATTTAAAGAATGTTGGTATATCTTTATCATATTATAAGATTTCAAAATACTTTAAGTATTCTAAAAATTTGATATTGAAAATAAGGTTTTAATTTACATAATGTTTTATATTAATAATTGTAATAATTCTACTTTTATGTCAGTTATTTGTTTTCCTATCATTATTTTGATTTTACTTATTTATTTCTTTATTATTATTTCTTATTATTATTTTGTTTTACTTTATGCTTTAAGGTGACTATACATCATTTAATTTCTTTTGGTGATATTTCATTATAGATGCGGTTTGTAGTAAACATAACAAATTGGACAGTACGGAAACCTGCTTTTTATCATGGCCACCTGGGCTTTATAGATTTTACAAGGTAAGTCAAAGATGTTACTGATATGAAACTTACCTACAATTCTGTAGATTCATCTTTGTATCCATTTAATTCGTTCTGCAGTAGCTGTTATTGTGCGAGTATAATTGTTCAATGAAAAAATACTCGCACAGTAGCTGTTATTGTGCGAGTATTTTTTCATTGAACAATTTTTTCCTCAAACAAAAAAATAATAAGCTTGCATAATTATTCAGAACAACACAACAAACACAGAGAACCTTTTCGACTGGTACATTCGATAAGTACCTTTTAACGATTAAAAATTCAATTGACTGGTATGTTTCACCATGTATTTTTTGTTGCAAACAACAATTTCATATCAATTTCTACTGTAGGAGGAGTTAAGCAGTAAAACAAAACAAAGAGCATTTTTGACTGGTATGTTTTGCTGAGGTCTATTTAAAAAATTACATTTTTTTAATTATTATACTTACTCATAATCTAGTTGCAAACAAGAAGACAAATTTCTACAGTGATAGAAGTGTGAACATAAAGTAGTATAAGGACTGGTTCATTTCACTGTGCACAGCTTAAAGTTATATATTTTATTGACGTATCCTTAATCAGGACTTTGTTGCAAACATATTATTTTCTACAGTGGAGAAGTTTAGCAATAAAATAATTCAAAGAGCTTTTCCGACTGGTGTGTTTCACCAAGTACTTTTTAAAGTTATACCTTTAATCAACAGATATGCTAATTTCTTTTTTTAGATCTTATGTGCAACCAGAAAATTAATAAAAATGGTTTAAATATATTGATGTTTATGTGTGTACTGTAGCCAGTGGCAAATATAAGATAGAAAAGTTCTTTGAATAAAAATGTTATTCTGATCAAGAAATTCTTGCTTTAATCTTAAGTGTGTGTAGACGTGATCTGGGGCTAATATAGAGCTCGTATACAAACATGCTCACTCCAACCAGTGAATTGCAAATTAATTTCTAAGTACTGTATCTATGGTAAGACTATCCACTTCCAACCTTGTTGGTACCGTACTTTAGAGATGTTAATGTCGTAGTGATAACTCAAGGCAATCACTGTTTTGCGAGAATGTAGGTAGCAGGCAATGTGTGTGATGTCGGATTCCAGCCACATTGTCTTCTGTTTATTTGGCACTTGTTAACTTTTAACCATTTTTTTTCCATCACATGCAGACATGATGAAAAGTCGAGAAGAAATATCTTTAGAATTGTGGCGTGTGTGGCAGACACGCGATGAGCTTTTTACGATGAAATTCACAGAAATTAGCACTAAAATTTTGATGGGTATTTGTCACATCTTTATAGTAGATTTATGTTGTAAATGATAGCGAGGTAGTGTGATTAATTGCAAGATACATGACTACCAGAATTCTTTACTTACCGTACTGTCAAAAATACACATAGCAATCGCCCACTGAGATTTTATATGTATTATCGTGCAACCAACTGAAGCCAACGAATGAAATGTTTCTGTCGGAAATCTTGGAAGGCAAATTTTTGTTTTAATTTGTTTAATTTTTTGCCTCCTACCACATATTTGTAGGACCACCCCCACCTCATTATCTTTGTACATCTACTAGCCAGCAAAATGATCAGAAAATCATATAGAAATTTATGATTAGTTGCTGAATATTTAATGTATTTTTCCATGGCATACTGGCCTTTTTTAAGTTAAATTAATCGGTGTCTCAACCCCTTCTGAGGATTATAAAAGAATTTAAACAACCAAAATTGTAATAGAAATTTTTTACACTAACTTTACTGTGTTCTTGAAAATGGGTATAGATACTGCAGAGATTAGAGGTCATGAACAATTATTGACATTTACACAAGTGTACAAACAGTACTCTTTTTCGGTACCCCCTCCCTCCCCTCTGGAAGTGAACAAGAAAATGTTGATTTTGCAAAACCTTTCTCCATTTTTTTGTGAATTCAACTAAATGTACTTGGTTGCTTAAAAATGAATATTATATCCATGGTTACATTATAATTTTACCATTATGTTACATACTGTATTGCATGTTATTTTGAATCAATATTTTTATGTATATGTAAAAGTTTACAAATTTGTCTACCCCCTCCCCCTAGCGTACTGTTTGTACACTTGTGAAAATGTTGATATGTTGAACGATCCCTTACCAGGTTAATAAGTCTGAATTATCCATATGAATATCATATCCATATTTGGCAAAATCACAGAATTTTACACATAAAACTGTATTGAGACAGATCGTAACAAATTCAACATAAATTTAATGAACACAGAACTAGTTCTGCCTCTTTCCGACTTGCTTTCTCTAAAGTAGGTTTTCCAGAAACGTTCTCAATCCAAGTCCCAAAAGTCTTTAAGTGATTATTGGCTCAATGCTATGTTCATAATGATTGTCTGTAGTTCATTATAGATTGCTCTATATAATACAATGATTACATAACGTATATCTCTTTGGTCCAACACATACTATCTAATCAAGTATAAGATTAAGAATTGTAAGAATGCGTAGATTTGAAAAATGGAGCAATCCTCCATAAAAAGTAATGTTAATGCCGAAATGGCAATGGAAGGATTTTAGGTAAATAATGAAAACTTTAATTATTTATTAGTACCATTTTATTGATTATTGGAAAAATGTATTGATGTATGTACAACTATTTATTATTGTCTATTGTAATAATTGTTCAAAGTAATACTTAACACATAAGAACGTAATTTGGAATAAGGCACATTGATTTTTGAAGCGTCAACCTTCAATCATCTTGAGGAATTAGAAAGTATACTTACTGTACCTAGTATTAGAATTGCATGAATCACAAAGCTGTGCAGTTCATCTAAAATATAATATTATACATTATTATAATAATAATAATATAATAATATTATTATATTTAATATGAATAGTGATTGTAATGTTATACATACTGTAGGCAGAGTTGCAAGAAATGAATAACATACTAACAAATAACAAAGATTCTAAGAGCCATTAGCAACAGCAATTGCAGTTTTGCTTTATTATATTTTATCATTGAATTTGTGTAAAGAAAATATAAACCTTTATGAAAAATGTGGGCCAATTAATGAGAGAAAATTGCAGAATAATGCAGATAGTTCAGGTAATAAAAAAAACAGCAGATTTTAATTTGTATTTTTCAACTTTACCCTCTTAAAAAACGAGGTAAAAGTCAATATGATTTACAGGCACAATTGTCCTCACATTAGCATGAGTCATATTTAACTACGCCGAGTCGGGAAATGCAGGTTGGGTGTTCGCGTGCTTTTGCCTCAAGGGTTGCAAAGCATTCCAGCATCATGCTAATGTTGGCGTTAATTCTAAATAGTGATAATAAAACTCCATTATGGTTGAAATAATCTTATGTGAAGTCTTTTGCGAATAATTCAAGTTGATTTCTGTAACATCAGAATACTGTACGCGCCGTCTACTGCTTCACCTCAATTTACCTGCTGTATTTTTATGATGTGTTGATTCGTAAACCCTACTGATGTTTGTGTGCCAATGCTGAGTAATCTGTTAGGTAAGGACAACAATAAATCCCAGGAATACTCATCATTAATTTTAAATTTAAAAAAATAACAATATTTTTATTTTATAGTACTCTAGAAAAACAATATTAACTATGTCTGGGTTTAGATAATAAACTTGAACAATAAAATTCAGAGTTAGAAAATGAAATTGCTTACTTTGTATTATTAAAACAAGTTGTTTTTATTTTTATTTTTCCTGTCTTCATGAGACCTGCCCTTTTATTCTTAGTATTGTAGACCATAAAATTATTTGGCAGATTTAAAAAAACGAAATCCATAGTAAAATTTCCGTAAATGTAAATCAAATTTATCTGAATTGTTCCGATTTGTGCTTCATTGAAAGTTGATAACTAATTATTTGATCCTAATAAAAGGACAGTTTTTAATTTTAGAATTGCATTTTTGTTCAGGTAAGATTTTATCACATATTCTATTTATTAATTATTACTTTTAATCTGTTAACATTTTTTTCACTCTTCTGCAGTATATCTAGTGTTTACATCACATTTTTGTCTGTTGGATTAAATATTTTAAAATACATATTTAAAAGCTGAACAGAATTCTTGTTAATATTTCAACTATTAAATAAATATGATATTTAAATCTAAAATCAGTGTAAACTGTTGTTTTACTGAATTCTAATGAATATTTCAACTATTAAAGAAATATGATATTTAAATTTAAATCAATGTTTGTAAAACAACTCTACTTTATTCATCTCTTTCATTAATAATCTTTATTATCGTGAGTATGTTTTCCTCTCTAAAGTTGAAGGTAGTTCATTCTGTATACCATATATTACTTGAACGTACTGTAGGGGAATGAGCTGTAAGCTGTTTGCTCTGTATGCATAGAAATTCCTTTATTTTTACTCATGGATTCACTAGATAGTTCCTGTTTTAATTGCATTGCTATGTTAACGTGCCACGAGCCTTAATCTATGGGCGTATATGTCACATGGTACAAGAGGATAAGTGAGTTGAACATCGATCTTACCTGATGAGATTTAGTCCATATGGTGGCTACTTATTAGACAATGATGCATCTCTTTATACAATTAATCTTTAAATATCTATTTTGTTACAATGTAGTATATTTTAAAATATTTTCAAAATATGTGTTTTTGATAAATTGTATTATTTTAATGAAGTTGTATAAAGTGCATTTTTTATAGTTAAGGTATTTTTGAAAAGTATATTTTGATAAGTTGTATCAAAGAGTATACAATAGCAAGAGGTCAGACTGTCAGAGTTTTTTTGAATTGAAATCTTACCTTGAAATGTACTACCACAAACTGAAGAACCAAAAAGGTCGCATGCCAGCATGCATAGAATTCTAATAGGGCACCCCCAATCTTGTGGTACTTATTGCTGCGAAGCAGCCAATTCATATTCTTGACAGCAATTTGACCTCTGAAAGGTCATTGTTTGTCAAAAAACAAGGGCCTAAGACGA